GTTTACAAAAAAATGCCTCAGTCACGTGTGCATGTGCTACATCTCACTTTTCCTCTCTCTCTGTCTCCAGTGAGCACAGGCGCCCTGGGGTGAGGGGGGATTACAGCAAAAAAAAAAAAAAACAGAGTAAGACTTATGACCTATAGGAAAGACGGATTTTTTTTGGGGGGGCGGGGTTGCTATAGGGCACGTGCGCTTGCAAAAAAGAGACAGAGATACAGAAAAAGAGAAATCACCCCCCCTGGGGGGGGGATGGCCATGAGGCAATCCTTTCTCCTCCGTTCTTTTCTCGGGATCTTGGTCACTTCTCGGGATCTTGGTCACGGTGAGGTGAGTTTAAGTCACTGGGTCTGGGACTCGAACCGTAGTGGACTAGCGACATAGCCAGTACACCAACTGCTGGTCCCTAAAGACAGATGTTTTAAAAAGCAAGGAGCATGCCCAGTGTGGTCTTACTCATTTGTCCTGCTTGGGCAGCCCTGGGGGCTGTTACTTTTTTTCCCTAATGAATTAGTTACTTTATTTAACTTGCTGTAGTCATCAGAGAGACATGAGGAAAGTGAAAAAGCAAGCTGGCAGGTCCAGGACTCAAACCGTTGTCAGCCATGTGGGAGTCCAGTGCCCTAACTACCATACCACTGTCCCGACAGTTACTTTAATTACCGCAAACCAGTCTAAAATGACCCCTGCTGCCACTCATTGACTGAATGTGCTGCTTGAGCATGGTGATGCTCATGTTTATAAAAGGTTTTGTTGGTAAAAAGCTGTTGAGTGATAGATGCTTTGATATACCAATAAATATGATGTTATTTGACGTCAGAGTTTGATACTAAGAAACGTAGGCTTGTGTCTGCTGTAATCTGGTGATATAAATAGCACATTAACAAAAGCAAATTTAAGTTTTCTTAAAACTTAGGCATCCCCACCAAGGTCTTCACATCACGACCCACCCTAAACCTCAGCCCAGCACATACAGGGAGGCTTTGGGATGCGAACCTGGGCCTTCTCCTGTGGGTCAAGCATCTTAGAGTTCTGCCTTACACTGATCCACCAGCTGCCCCCTTTGTAGTAGAAGAGAGGCTACAGGCTGGCATTTATTTATTTATTTTTAAAGAATTATATTATTTAACTTGATTTATTGTAATTTGACTGGAGAGGGACAGAGCAAGAGAGAAAGAGTAAGGGAAAGTGAGAAAGCAAGCCGCCAGGTCTGGTACTCCAACCACAGCCATGTGGGAGTCCAGTACCCTTAACCATCACACCACCTGCTAGCCCCAGATAAACAAAACATGAGGAAATTACTTTTAATCTTGGAGTGAAGAAGGCTTTGACTTTGTGAGACAAAAGACTAATTTCCTTAATAAAAGTGTTAGCGTGCGGAGCCCCCCCACATGCCCGCCCGCGTTCGAGTACTGGACCTGGTGGCTTGCTTTATCACTTCCCCTCTCTCTCTCTCTCTATCTCTCTCTGATCAAATTAAAATAAATGAGTGAATAAATAAAATTAAATAATTTTTTTGAGAGATTTTCGCTATAGGGCGCGTACGCTTGCCAGACAGACAGAGACATAGAGACAGAAAGCGAGAAATCACCCCCTGGGGGGGATGGTTACGCCGCAGTCCCTTCTCCTCCATTCTCCTCTCAGGATCTTGGGCACGCATGCACACGCGCCCGGCGTGAGTTTTCAGCCACCGGGTCCGGGATGCAAACCGCGGTCGACTACGTGGGAGTCCAGCGACATAGCCATTACGCTAACTGCTGGTTCCCAAAATTTAATAATTAAAAAGAGAGAGAGAGACAGCGAGAAATCTCTCCCGCCCCCCCCCCCAGGGGGATGACCACGTCACAATCCCTTCTCCATTTTCCTTTCGGGATCTTGGGCTTGCATGCACATGCACCCAGTGTGAGTTTAAGCCACCAGGTCCAGGACTTGAACTGCGGTTGACTACATGGGAGTCTAGCAACATAGCCATTATGCCAACTGCTGGTCCCAATAAAAGTGTTTTTTTTTGGGGGGGGGGTGGTTGAGAGGTTTTTGCTATAGGGCGTGTGCGCTCGTGAGACAGAGAGCAAGGAATCACCACCCAGGGGGGATGGCCACGCCGCAATCCCTTCTCCACTCTTCTCTCGGGATCTTGAGCATGCATGCACACGCACCCGGTGTGAGTTTAAGCCACCGGGTCCCGGACTGGTACCACAGTCAACTACGTGGGAGTCCAGCGACATAGCCGTTACACTAACTGCTGGTCCCGTGAGTGTTTTAAAATAGAGGAAAGTGGTCAGTTCTGCTCGTTATAAGAGTACTGTGATGCAGACTTTAGCGAACTCTGCCCGAGCCATAGGCAAAGATAAAGACCTTGGCGTCCCGTGACAACACAGCAGGCGTAGGGAGCCACGTGCTCTAGCACACTGCTGATGGGAATGGGGTCTCCCACCGCTGAAGACCTGGCGGTTCCACTTCCAGAAATGAACGCATGCATAAATGACCTGGCACACATAGAAAAATATTCCTTAGAGCAATATTTTTTGGTTTGAAACTTTTATTATTTAAATTTGCTGTAGGGCTTGTGTGTGTCAGAGAGAGTGAGAAAGCTCCCGGAGAGGATGGCCATACCACAGTCTCCTCCATTTTCCTGGGATTCTAGGCATGCACACCCCCAAACCAATGTGTTTTCAGGCTGCTGGGTCTGGGACTCGAATAGCACAGCCAGCCATGTGGGATCCAGCACGTTTAACTGCCATGCCACCTGCTATCCCCTATTTTGAAATTCCTGTAGAAATGTTCCTCTTCCCCTGGTCCTCACCATGTCAGTGTCTCCCGGAACCTCAGTCTCTGCAGCTTTTAGAAAGGATTGATTGGCCAGTTACCTTGGAAGATGCTCCGTCCTCGGGTTTGCTGACTTCGCGATTAGGTAGGGATGCGGGTCTAGCAGGAAGCTGCAGAAGAGAGGCCGTGTCCTTGCACCTGCTGGGAGTTGCAGGGGCTTGATGCATCTAGTTCCCAGCCATGACGACTGTGATCACTTAGTTCATGGGGGCCTGCCTCTTTCCTCAACGTGAGAGTCCTACGTCCCTCCTTGTAGTCCGTGAGGACTCCGGGAGGGGGCACCATGGCAGTGCAGGTAGTCTGTCCTGGTGACAGACTGCCCAGGGTTACCAGCTGTTGGCCTCACGGCAACTTCTCCGCCTGCTCTTTCCCCCCATGCCTTACACATTTACTCATTGTAACCCACCGTAAGAAGGAGCAGCCCCTTTACTCCTGTTTACCTAGCGGGCTAACACGGTTCCTGCGGCTACATCTGGAGTCTGTTAGGGCGTCAGGTTGCCCTCGATTCTGCCATTGGGAGCCCCATGTCCCTGACACTCCCTCATTTCAGAGCCTTTGGTCATATTCTGGCAACACAGGGTATTCAGTGCTCATCTGGTGTTCCCCCACAGAGCCTGTTCCTTTTGTTGAAGAGCAGTGTTTCTGAGAGGCTTTCACGGCATTTGTGGAAGAAGTGGAGTTGAACTCCGGGTTTATTTCACTAAAACCTGAAATCCCCAGGTTTGCTCTGGTAGGCACTGCCATGCGCTCCGAAGCCCCCTGTATGTGCACAGGCGTATCCCAGCTCCGTCCACTCACAGGGCCGCGAGGGCCAAGCACGCCTGGGCCAGGAGAGAAGCCGCTGGGGCTGCCCTGGCTGTAGCACTTGACAATCCAATGTCCCAGTGAACACCTGAGCCTGGGCACACAGGTAGTTGTTCACCTTCCCTAGCAGCCAGATCTTGGTTTGTACAAAAGTGCACTGAAAGTTTATGGAAGACACTAGGCTCCCACATGGCCAACTGGAGTTCGAATTCCGGACCTGGAGGCTTGCTTTCTCTTGCACTCTCTCTCATTCTCTGGGGTGAGCACACGTGCCCTATAGCAAATTAAAAAATAATAATAATTTGTTCTTAAAAGTTTATGGAAAAACAGAATTAAAGTGTGAGTTTATTTTGGTGGAAATTTTTTTTAAATCCATGGATAACTTTTTTCATAACACAATGTTCCTGGACTTTTGTTTTTTGTTTTGCTGTTTTTTATTTTAAGTAATAAGCAATTGGGACCAGCAGTTGGCATAATGGCTATGTCATTGTACTCCCATGTAGTCGACTGCGGTTCGAGTCCCGGACCCAGTGGCTTAAACTCACACCAGGTGTGTATGTGTGCATGCCCAAGATCTCGAGAGGAGAATGGAGGAGAAGGGATTGCAGTGTGGCCATCCCCCCTGGGGGGCGATTTCTTACTTTCTGTTTCTGTGTCTGTCCCTGTCTCTCTGGCGAGCGCATGCGCCCTATAGCAAAAACCTCTCCAAAAAAAAAACGGCAGGCCCCCTATAGAAAAAACCCCTCCAAAAAAAAAAAAAAAAAGACAAGACACTGGACTTCCATGTGGCTGACGCGATTCAAGACCCAGACCTGGTAGCTTGAAAATCACGCCAGGAGCATGTACATGTGTGCTCAAAATCCCTTAGAAGGGATTGTGGCTTGGCTGTTCCCCTTTGGAAGTGGTTCCCCACTTTACCTCTCACAGTCTCTGGTGAAGGCATATGCCCTGTGGCAAAATCTTTTAAAAAGAGAAGTCCAGATCTCTTGCTTGGGTATTTATTCTCCTGACAGTTAGACAGCTGTGAAGTTCATCGCCGGCCTCTGTAGGGGCTGTGAGGACCGAGGTGTACTGGGTTTGGTGGGCTGGTGCAAGAGCTCCCCTGGGGAACGGTGTGGGAAGTGGGGTCAGAGCACCTGCCCCTGCCCGCTGCTTTGCTCCTGCAGTCCGGTGAGCCCCACTGTTACACTTCCTGAACAACGCCTGAGGAGGTCACACCGAAATTCACCGGGTCAGCCAGCTCTGCGGTTCGGCCACTTTGGAGTAGCTCATATTTACTTTTGCCAAAAGAACAAGGTGAACGAGGTGGGTATCCCGTTTGTGCTGTCTCATTAGTTACTGTTCTTTCTGCATGTCGCCCGTCTTTTTAGGAAAACCAGTTCCGTGTACCCCTTGGAGGACCGCAGCCCAGTGTGGGAGTCGCAGACGAGACCTGGCTTCTCGCTTCTGTGCCAGCCGGCTGTACAGTACGCAGGCTGCCGAAGACAAGGAGGAGCCCCTGCACTCCATCATCAGCAGCACCGAGATCGTGCAGGGTAACATGTCCAGGCAGCCCCTGGTCTGGGGTGTCCGGGTCATTTCTGAGTGGAGGCAGTGATCAACAGAGCTGCCCGTTTTCTCCTGCACGTGCTGCTGATGCTGCTACCTAGCAGGCCAGGCCACGCGGGGCCCGGGTTGCATTCCCGGCCTACTCTCAGGACCCTGCTCCAGTGGCACAGCCCATAGTCTAGAGGACTTGGGAGGCTAAGCAGGAGGGTCAGCACAGCCAGTCCCCATGTCTAGGAAATTGTTTCCCCACACACACGCATAGGTCTTTGTTGTAGGAAGTGTCCCCTGAAAGTGTACCCCCGTTCTGTCCCAGTACTACTTCAGATTTACCCTGATGTGCCTTGGCCCCCCCGGTGGCCACTTGTGAAATCGTGTGTGACACCTCTCCAGATGGTGGTTCAGGCACATCTGCAAGTAATCGTGGCAGCTGGACACCAGTTCGGTATCGGCCAGTTAGTACAGGGCTGGGTCCCAAGGTCACCTTTTTCGTTCATTCAGAAGTATAGAAAAGTAGTCGTGAGAGTTAGTCCTGAAGTGGTTCCATTTCTGGCTTTTAAATGAGGTGACAAGGACAGCCTTTGATGTCAAGGGAAGTGAGGATTTTGTGATTTTGCTTTAATTAATTGATTAAAAAAAAAAAACCTGCTTTTTTGAAGAGTTAATCCTTGGTCTAGTTGGTGGAGTCAGCCTGGGAAGCCCAGTCTCAGGAGTCCACTCGAGAAGCCCACAGTGGGCATGGCCTGTGTAGTGGGAGGATTTGGGCCTTGGAGGGAGGAGCCCTCTATCTGCTCTGTTTTAAGATTCCTAACCTGAAATGCTCTTACAGAGGTGTAGCAGGCTCGTCCATGACCGTGGAAATGATACCTGGTTGTCTGTGTATGTGACTTACTACCAGGTTCCGTTTCCAAGCACGAGTTCCAGGCTGAGACGAAGAAGCTTTTGGACATCGTCGCCCGGTCCTTGTACTCAGAAAAAGAGGTACGGCGCCTGGCCCCGCTCCCACGCCAGCGAAGTTTCTCTGGCAAAACTCTCTTCATGTTCCCTGGGGATGAGCTGGGTCACGGTTAGCATGCGAACACATGGAACTTTGGGTAGTCCTAGTCTTCAGCTTCCGGTGAGAGTGTTCTCACCACAGTGTGGGAATTTCACGCACGTGTATCCAGACGATTCTTTGGGCCAAGTGGACTCTGGAAATTAATTGAATTTTGCTGACAATTTTTTTGTTATTTTTTTATGAGATCGAGAGACAGAGACCCCTGGTAGGATCTTACCAGGCTCACAGTCGTACCTGGTGTGTTCTGGTCATCTGGGATCTGAACCCCAGCCTTCGTAGGTGGCTCCAGTATTGCACGGGACTCCCTGCCACCGCCCTGTGATCATTCTAACAGCCCCGGTATAGACATGGGGCTTGCTGAGAGCCGTTTCCGTGACTCTGCAGATGGCTCTGAGGGGTATGGAGTTTTCCCTCCTTACCTGGTGCAACCACTCACAGTTCCGGGAGCTTACAGAGAGCTTCCTGAGGAGACTGCACTCACATGAGGGTGATGGGACATGGAGAAAGTCAAAGGGACAAGAAGCCCGTCAGTGTCCATAGGCTAATTGCTGCTGGAATGCATAGGGTTTGGTAAAAAGCACACGGCACAAAGTTGAAAGGACTTTTTGGGAAGCGTGTCCATGTCTTGTGCTATTAGATGGTATATCCATGGGTCCAGTCCCCCAGCCTCTGCCCAGAGCACCCACTCCTGCATCTCACCCATGCTCTGTGGGCTGTGGGCCAGCCAGGTGCCTCTCAGACCCTGCAAAGTGGCTTTTGCCCTGCAACGTGATAGGTCTGGTGTTTGACCCCAGATGAAGTGAGGCCAGTGAGTCTGTTTCCATGGAGTGGGAGAAATTAATGTTTGGGGGATAGTCGATCATCACCGTGTAAGAGTTAGGGACGAAATGGCCCCTCACAAGGTGTTTTTTTGTTTTGTTTTGTTTTGTTTTGTTTGTTTGTTTTTTGAGAGAGGTTTTTGCTATAGGGCGCGTGCGCTCTCCAGACAGACAGAGAGAGACAGAGAGACAGAAAGCAAGAAATCACCCACAGGGGGGATGGTCACGCCACAATCCCTTCTCCTTCATTTTCCTCTCGGGATCTTTTTTTTTTTTTTTTTAGAGTGTTTTTCGT